AGGCTCAGGAGACCTCCCACGAACCAATATTAATCAATGCACCGCCAGTGCGTGTGGGCTGCCCGTATGGTACCTACATACGGGCCCCATGTCAAGTCCCATGTCAAGTCCCAGATCCCGCCGACGCTGCCTCTTCTGGCCATGCCGGCCCTGGTCAACCCGTTAGTCAAATGTTTGCCCTATCATGCCCAATCTCCATGATCCATTCCCATCTTAGCCTATCCAGAACACGGACGCTGGGCTCTGGTGCCCATTCCCTTCTGGGATGCAATCCCACCCTCCGTCCACTGGAGCAAACATGGGCGCCAGACCTGCAGAGAAGCAAGCTAGAGAGAGCCAGACCAGACTGACACACACAAAGACTCACTTACAGGTACGAGAGCTTCTCGCTCACTCGCTGGCTCGCACGCATAGGGAGGCGCCCATCACCTCGCCGGACTCGCACGCCCCCTCCTCTTCAAGGCCCCCCCTGCATCAGGTCCCCTGAACCTACTGCTAGCACAGTGCTTCTTCGTGCATGCGCCTGCGTCCGTCTGCATACTTGCCCGTCTCCACGGCCAACGTTCCGCTTCCTTCGCAGACGATACTTGTACTTGGGCCTGGGGAGCTGTTGTACTTGTAGGGAGTACAGCTACGGACGGACACAAGTGCCAACTTGTACGCCTCTGGACGATGCTACTGCTTGGATACCCTAGTCTAGCCTGGCTTGGTGGTCTGGCACTGGTTGGTGGGCGGGCCACTTGCTCGTCTGCAGCAAACCACCGAACTTGCCGTCTCCTGGACCAACAGCATCGGCCTGCTGCAGCTTGTCAGATCTTGTACGGACTCGCTTGCCGCACGGACGAGCACGCGGTGCAACAGCTTCTGCCTGTACGGCCAGCCGCGCCTGGGGGGCCGGTACTTGAGTTATCATTCGAGATGCATCACCGCCCTTCGAACAGGCCAGATGCTACTTTCTGCTCTTGCTCAGGGCTGACATGAGTCGTTCCCCTTCTCCGCAGTTCTGTACTTTCACCCCCACGAATGCATACGGTAGCGAGTAACGGCGAAGAAAAGCCCGTCATTGTCTCACCAGGCCGTTACCGCGCGGAAGAGAGCCCACCAGCGGGTCTTGCACAGTTCAGTAGTAGTTAAAGTGACGTGAGAAGCAGGGCTTTCCTTGACAAGTGATTTCTGCTTGCTCCTGGGTGTCGTTCTACAGAGCCCGTCCAAGTAGCGATACATTATCCGGCAGAGCACCCCTCATTCAGAAAATTTGTCACAAAGACTTCACTCTTGACTCCTTGGTTTGCCTTGCTTTCGAAATTCTTGCACAGTTATACACCATACTTGCCTTTCATCACTGGTTTGCGTTGCAGCGATTTGCCCTTCTCTGGCATTTGCAGTTGTTGGTCCTCATATCGTTTACTCCAGAGCGTCATTTCCTCTTACGGAAAAGGCTATGCCATTACTTTGCGTATCTTGCCCATGAGGTTCGTATGGTCCCATGTTTGCTATCGACAAACACTTCCCATACATACTCCTTCCTGACTCACGGCCACCGGCTTGTTGATGACAGCGCAAGACAAGGTTTGGACTTTGTCTCTGCGCTGACGGTTTAATGAATATTACCCCCACCTGTTCCGCTCCTCTCTGTTCGCCTTTCTACTCATCCCTATTTCCTCGAGAGAGCCTATTTGCTAAGTGCTGACCTGCTCAGTTTTTCAGCAGCTAGTAAAACCCAGCGATAGACTGGGCCGCTCCGTTCTGGAATATAATGAACACCGCTGCTCACAGCTCAGCCAGCTCAGACCAGGACGCTACCATGGTGCAGAGCAACGGAACTGGATATAACAATGACCACTGGGCGAGTATCAGTCCTTATAGCCAAAGCCCTTATGGAAACAGCCCTTTGAATGAATATGGCGCCACGTTTGGCGGATATATATCGCACGGGCTACCATCCGAATCGCTCAACAGGATGCCTCCGCCCATTCTCTCAACTCCGTCTCAACCCACAACACATCAAATGATACATCCTGCACCCATCATGGGCCACCACCAACTGCCGATGCTAAACACTCAATGGCCGAGTCAATTAACGAACCCTACGCCTTCGGGAAGCTACTCTGCTCCTCCGCTGTCCATCGCACCGGCATCTAGTCTGCCTCCGGTTGACCCGCCGCCAAGGCCCCTTGTGCATCATGAGAAGGCGAGAAAGACTTTGAGCGCGGAGCAGAAACGGGCCATGTGTCAATACCATGAAGAAAACCCAGGTACTCGGCAGGCAGATATTGGCGCTAAATTCGGCGTCGAGAGAAGGTAGATTCCTCTAGCCATCACTGATTCCACTCCCCTCTACGGAAAATAATCGACTGACATTCAACGCAAGCACTGTATCTAAAGTGCTGAGACACAAAGAGCAGTATCTGAAACGAGACCCGGAGCCAGATGGAGCAGCACTCAAGCGTTTGAAAGGAAAGCACCCTGATTTTGATCGAACGCTCAGCAACTATGTTCGACGACAGCAGCAACGCGGCTTTGAAGTCAAAGATGACGACATAATGGAACAAGCCCGGCTGTTTGCTCGGGCCAGCGGCAACCAAGAAGCAGTCTTAACGAACATCAACAGCAACTGGCTCCTTAAATTCAAGCAAAAGCACGGAATAGGGGCTGGGCGGCTGATGCGTCGAGCATCCGAGACGAACATTCCAGACAGTATGACCATGTCTGCAGCTATTCTACGCTTCCCAGGAGATAAAGCGGCTCATACAATTTCTCCCGTCTCTCCCACTCATCGGCTCTCGCCTCTTTCTGCTAGCCGTAGCGAGGAGGATTTGCAGGCTGAAGGACACGATTTCGACTTCCACTACAGACATGCTGGGTCTCATTCCTCAGCTTCACTAGCAAACGACTTGAAAGACGCGACTGTTTCGTTTTCTGAGACGATTAATCCAACTGCAGCTTTCCATTTCACACCTGACCCCAACGCGGGAGCATTCCAAGACGGTCTCCATATACAACCTGCAGCCCCTGATTTCCAGCACCGCGGAAAGAGAAGCAACACTTTCCCATCCCTCAATATCGATTGCCTAAATCAAAACGCAAGTACAGGCCCGCTGACCCCTCGACACTCTGCCGTCACAGCATCTTCAGCAATCGAATCGCCGACAAACGACTTTCGAAGCACTCCTTTCACGCTTGATACCACGATATCGCCACCACCAGCCTTACGCCGCAGCAGCAGCAACTCAAGCATTGCCGCTCGAACAAACAACAACTCTGCAAACGCTAGTTCTGTATCATCAAACACTGCTGATTCTTCGCCAACATCCCCAACACCAGAGGACGCTAGACGTGCCGCTGAAACACTACTGAGCTATCTTCACCACATGACACCAAATGGGCCGTTTGATAAAAGCGAATACGCCACCATCGTTCAACTTACAAAAAAACTACAAATACATCAGCACCAAACAACACGTCCTTCTATAGGGGGACTGTCAAGGATCCCCGAGAGCGACGACGGAGAAGTCCAGTCAATGACGGAGCCTACGATAGTGGAAACATGAAAGACAAGTAGAGCTCCCCTACAGCATTTGTGACCCTCCTTTCGCCCCTTTGCCGTTTTTCTTTTTATGGAATCGTTTTTTTCTGCTTTGAAAATATTACTGGAGTCACGGATTTCTTTTAGCATCACTGGAACAAACAAGCAGTAAAGCCTGGAAGAAGAGCGCAGCTTTCACTACTACTCCTGAGCGAGAACATATATTGGTTATGAGGTCGTTGCAAGCTATCGCAAACCCCTATCTCAAAATAAATAAAGAGGCGCCCGTTTCCGCATCGCAGGCGACGGAAGTGGCTTCTGAGGAACGGATAAGGTACTTGGATGGATGGGAATGGGATTATAACTAAAGAGAAAGGCGACTTCATCTGGCGACAGATCCACCAGCATCAAAACTGGTTCATTATTTTTTTCATCATCCACATATCACTCATTTTTAAATTTTCACCTGGTTTATACCCACAACTTGTGTGACAAATGTTTTCTTTCTTTTCTTTTCTCTTTTCCCCCCATTTTCGTTTCCTAGCATCTGTCAAGCTACGAAAGACACTCCTGCTGCTCACGCGCGCCCCCTGTTTATGCCGCTGTGTTGATATTTCATTGTTTTGTCTTTTCTTGCATTTTGTTCATACTTTGTTTTTTTCCTGCGCATTTCTGGTTTTACTCGATACACAAAGGCATAAAAATGAATAACGCGGCTCCCCAAAGGCGCCGCTGAATATTAGTCGGGAGACGACGTGTTCTCGCTCTCCTATAGCTTCACACCGCTTAACTTCCTTATGTGCTTGGGAAAAAAATATCTTATTATTATTATTATTTTATACTGCTTTACTTTGCTTCTGCAATGGGTCTTACACTTGAGGGTTATGAGGAGGATATGAACGGGAATCCAAATTAAGAAAGAAAAAAAGGAAAAAGTTACACAAGGGTCAACTTGGTACCAAACTCCTCACGGAGAAGCAAGCTACTACTTTCTTTTCTTTTTTTTCTTTGCTTTTTTTTTTTTTTTTTTTTTTTTTGGGGGGGGGATAACAAATGTACTTTTTTCTTCTCCTCTTCTAGGTAATACCTCTCCTACTAAAAGCAGGCTACTTTGTGATCAGAAGAGGGTCCCTTGGAGAGCGGGAATCCATATGAGGGCATAATTTTCGGCATCTAACATGCTAGGGCCTGGCCACTAAAAGACCCCCGTTTAATTCCCTCTTTTCCTTTCATTTAGATGGGCCGCATTTCGACAAACATATGTACTGGATACATACATGTGGATGATTCTATCTATGTGGAGGCGTGTCTATTAGACAGGACCTAGAACAGAGGGGCAGACGGGAAAATCGTACCTTACTACTGCTATCATGTCCATACTGGTAGTAGTACCTACATATGCAGAGAAAGGAGAAAAGCTTTGTTAAACACTCTATTGTTTACTAGAAATAAAATGGTCTATTTTGATGAGTGATTAGCCAAGTCTTTCTTCCCATAGCTCCATGACACCTTTCTCGCTTAGCTCTGGCATCAGCCTCACGAGAACGAGCTCTAGCACGCTATACATGAGATGTTTGTTGCAGTACTCGTCTCCAACAACGTCGAGGAGACCCGCCAGCTCATCCACGACCCTCTCGTCATCTTCCCTGTCAACCGCGGCAGACGACCGTCCGAAATTGTCGCCAGAGCCAAGTAACCCGCCCAAGCGCCAAAGCCGACCGCCAAAGTACACGCGGGCCACACTTGTGGGGAGCAGGCCCCGTATAGCGCGGGCGGCCCTACGGCGTAGGGCGAGCAGCTCTTCCTCCGACTGGGGAGCTGCAAGACTGGACGAGCCGGGGCTGTTGTTAGGGAACAGGGCGCCTCGGAGCGACCGAAGGAGGGGTGGTAGATGAGAGGGGTCGAAGAGAGATTGAATGTGGTGCGAGAGGAGTCTACAAGAAAGCAAAGGGCCATTGATTAGCTTAGTTAGTCTCTCGTCGTAAAGTAGCAAAACGAGGCTAAGAGAGAGAGGGAGAGAGAGAGAGAGAGAGATGATATTCTATCGGATCCGCCCGCAAGATGTGGGGATGAAAGGCGAGGATTAAAACGGAGGGGTAGTGAAAGATAGGAAGGGGGGGGGATTAAAGCATAACGGCGTTAAGATTGAGAACCGTTGTTGGCAGCTAGCTTGTGAAGAGGCGCGGCGTCTGTTAGGGGCATCTCGCCCTCGTTCCTGTCATTCCGATGTACGGGTGTATATGTTTGTCAAGATGTGACAGAACATGAGCGTATACATGTGATCAGGAGACGGGGGAGACTCCCCATGGTAGTAATGCAGTCAAGGCCAGAATGGTCGACAGGACAGAAAGGCTTGCTGCGTGCGGGGAAAGCAGGAAAGGAACTTCTCCGGCGTGTGGGAAGGTGTATGCTGGATCTGCGTAGTGCGACAAGAGACTCCCGATGGATATCAATGCAAGGAAAAAGTGATGTGTCGCGTTCCCTGCCGGCCGAGCAATGCGACAAGCTAGGAGAAGGTCGTTACGAGGCCGGACAAGTTGAAGAGACCGTCCTGCATAAGCGCATGCTCGCCGAAAACCTGTCGATTCTGACGAGTAGTTTTCAAGGAGCCCTTTGATCATCTCAGCTTCCGCAATAAGAAGCAGACGAGACGCGAGTGGCATGTGTCCCGTCAGTGGCCTTAGCCAAACCACGGAGCGCCACCAGGTGGAGAAGTGGAATGGACATCATTTTTTTTTCCCCTTCGCGTGTGACTGAAGAAAAAACGGCGCGCTCAGGCACCATCATACTGCCTGCTCGAGAAGACACCGGTCCAATAGACAGCAGATGGCCATCTGGAGGTGGCGCGGCACGGGGCGAGCGGGTGACTTGAACGGACGAAGAGCTTTTTCCAACACCACTTTGTCGTGCGAGACTAGACGGCCAGGGTCGCGACCCGCTTTCTCTCGTAGCTGATGGCCCCTGTTTGAAGCCGGCGCGTAATGAAGGCTTCTCGATGGACGGGCCGGTTCGCAGTGGCCCAGGCCGGCGCATCAATTTCGAGCAATCGGAGACGAGATAGCGAATCCTGCACTTCAATTGGCCGGCCAGTCGAGAAACTAGCAGCCCAGATCTAGAAGGCTCGGTGTGGTGTGGTAAATAGCGCCGGTCGTAACAGCCCTCTCGTCGCATGGAGCCCATCTACTAGATAGACTCCGAGGGTGTCACCCAGGCAAGATTGTGTACAACGTGCAACATGCATCGTGCCATTGATGGAGATGCGGTGCATGGCCGAGTCGCAATCCAGCAGAAAAGGAACCCTGTTCCGAGAGCTCACTGGCTAGGAGCGGCCAGAAAGGGAGGTCCAGTGACTTGCAGAAGATGCGAGGTGACAAAGAAATGCAAGAATGGCCAGGGAGGGAAGGGAATAAAGGCACATGAAAGAGGGATAAAGCCGCGATATTAGACCAATATAACAAGGAAATTGCATATCTTACCTGTCGAGGGGACCATCGAGCCCCGCAATACGCCATGGCCCGTTGACGGCGGCAGTCTGTAATAATGATATGAAGCCACCCAGCCAGGGCTTCCTTTCCTCCAGCTCAATCAAGTTTCCAAAACAAGTCCACAGTTTGAAAGCTAGCACAGGTACTTTAGCCGGAGCGACGTTCGTATCCGCTGGTGGTGATGGCCGCTTGATGTTTTCAACGTGATCTGCGGCTTCCTCATCGAGATGAAGTGCCGTCCGAGGCGGCAGCGATATGGAGTCCGCCAAGGTGACAACCATGAATCTAACTGCGTTGAACAGGAGGATGCCCAAGTGAATAGCCAACACAAAGACCCTTTGGGCCGTCCACTTTGGAGACCTGTCCGCATCTTGGCCAAGGCCCGATAACGATGGTGGTGGTTGGTCTTTTCCGGACACGATCCTTGTCTTTGCTCTAGCTTTCTGCTCATTCAGCGACTTTGCGGCGATACAGATGGCTTCGTAGAGAAGCCATGGTTGGGATGCTTTGCCAGCGATAACGTTGCCGATGATTAGCTCCGAGAGGATTTGCTCCACGAGTGCCGTTAAGCAAGGATTCTCCAAATCTTCAGTCGGGAGCAGGATGGCCAGAACAGCCTGGACTAGCAGCTGGCGATACGTTGCTTCGTTCTCTTTCTGTAGCTTCACAGATGATGCATCATCTTCGCGAGGCACGGGTGAGAGAAACGGCAGGGGCAAAATGGAGTGGTAGACGTCTCGGGGATCAGCTTCTACCGAGGGTTGCAGAGCAGCCCGAGAGGCCACACGACGAGCTGCGTCCCAGTCAGTGGCAGATCCAACATGTAGAGTAACGCCACACTACTAGCCTATAGCATGTCTATCAAGCAGCTCTGGGATCTCGTCCAAGAGTAGGCTCTCCATATCCAATTCCCTAAACCGTTGCTCCAGTGCCGTAGTGCAGTGTGCGATGATGTGCAGGATCTCCGGCACGAACGTCTCATCCGTGGTAATCTTGCCGTACCAGCTCTGCACAAACTCGCGCATGATGATGGCGAGGAAGGCGTACAGCTGCAGATCGACATCGTTGCGACTCGTCAGCGGCGGCAGCAGCTCTTCGATCGGCGGCTGGGCATCTCGGCCCTTGTTGCCCAGCTGCTGAGGGCACAGCGTCCGGCGGATGAGGCTCAGCGTGGCCCGATCAGACAGCGGGTCGACCGGTCCGGGACGATTGCTCCGGCGATCTGCCACACCGGCCTCGGGAGGCGGAGAGGAGGCGGCATGCTTGGATCGCGGTGTCGTCGGGGCTCTGGCGGGAGCGAGAGGCGCAGAAGCGGTGGAGGCGGCGGTCATGGCCGGAGAATCAGGCGTCGTCGCGGGAGCATTGCGCGCGAGCAGGCGAGCGACAGAGGCAGACGCAGGAGGGCGATGCTCCTAAATCGCCGCAGAGGCTGGTTGTCAAAGTAGAGTTAGGTCGCTGTTGGGTCGCAGTTCTGGGATGCATGCAGTTCGATGTCTGGCGCAGCTTTGGTCTGGTTAGCACTGTGCGCGCTGCATGAACCCCGCACGTGCATAACATGATGTGGGCTGGATACTGCAGGCCGATGCGTGTTAGCGTGCTGACTGCATCATTCGCAGATAGCTACCCATGGGCAGTCGGAAAACCACTCACGATGATTCAAGTATACAAAGTATTGCTTTCTGTAATTCCTCTGGGTTGGAACATGGAGCAAAAAAGATGTGTAGAACAAACAGCCTATATAGTACACCTGTGATGGGGGCTTCTTCCATGCCACTAGACCCTCTCTTCCCTTTTAAACGCCTCCTAGATATAATACATTGGAGAGGTGCTTTTATGCTTAAGTACATGTACACGGCCGTACAATCGTCGTCAGATTATACGACATAGTCGACAAATTTTACATCATGACATGGCGTTCACTGAGATCCAAGCCGTCGAACACCTCTATACCTCTAGGTTCCTCGTGGTAGTCTCATATCTGTCAAAGTTGTCAGTCAGCCTGGAGTAGAAAGGTGGAAAGGCAGTCAGTGTCAAAGCATACCTCTTTCCTCGGAAAGCCCAAACGCCCCAATTACCACATGTGATATCTTGGGGGTCCATGTCGTCGAGATCCCATCGCAGACTCCGGAAAGTGTTCTCTCCGGGCTCCAGCAGCACATCAAACTCGCCTCCAGACTTTTTGTTGACCCACTCCACATCACGCTCCATATCGACTTGCGTATATCCCGTGCTGATAATGGGTACCTTAGTCTCCAGCAGTAGAGGCAAAGTCTCTTCCCAGTCATGGCTGCTAGCAGGGTGGCCAAGGCCAGGATGGAAGAGGACAAAGCAGTCAAAGTAAGGATCGTACGGCGCAAACTGTCCCGTCTTGTGGATGGTATGATAGTAATCCACGATGGTGCTAATTTTCATGTTATACCACACTCGGTCTTCTACCACGGCGCCAAATGGATTCGATGGCGTGCGTTCAGGCAAGGGGAATTCATCATCTCGGTTGGCCATGCTCTCTGGTCCAATGAAAATGAGGTGTAGTCTTGCTTCAGGGAACAAGTGTGCAAGCTGCACCCATATAGGCCGAGGCAGAGATGATTCAGCTCGTGCACCGAGAATGAATAATCTCACTGGCGGCGGTTCTGGGCGGAGCTGGTTGACGCCAGCACCACGACCTGATCTCGGAATATGCAAGTTATACCTCAAAGCTAGCATTCCAGGATCACATTAGCTCTCCGCCTAAAACGACCAACACCTTCTATTCTTTCTCGTCCACTCACCGCTAAAGCTCTTCAATCCTTCCACCGTCATGCGGCCCCCTTTCTGGATATTGTAGGGGCTCAGTTCATGGAGGACGCTTCCAACCGTAATCGGATAAGTGAGAAGTCGGGTGATTTGCCTCATTGAACGATCCGAATTCACTGCCTCAAACTCTCGAGTATACATGAACGTGTCCCAATTTGTCATGTTGACCGCAGCGTTCTCCATCTGGAGATCTGGGAGGTTGCCCTCATGGAATACTCTGCCAGATCGCAGATCGTGGTCGTCTTCGTTGATTTGGCGAAGAGTATCGCAGATTTTCAAGTGATTCTCATAATCATCCATCCAATGCTCTTTGCTGCAGTAAACCGCAATCCCACAATCCGGGCACTCGAAATCCACATGCGCGGGAGCCATGTCTCCTTCAGCGGCAGGAGCAGCATCACCAACTGTGGACGAATCGAGTGGGACTCTCGCATGCTTGTGATCGGGGTGAGGGCAGTATGCATTCTGTCGCATATACGCAGCTCGGCGGCGGAATTCGGGAACTGGCGACTTGGAAAAAGGGTGGAAGAGATCATCTGGGCTCAGACGAAGCGTTGCTGCAGGAGACCGCTCGCCGGTAGAGGCTTCGGACGCTGAGCTTGAGTATTCGCGGGCAGTTGTCGTCAACTTAGATCCAGAGGCCGTACGGTTAGCGTCCAATGACTTGGCAGAGTGTATACTGCGAATTGCTGCTGGTGCCCATGGCTTCAATGCCGCTCCTGCAATCACCTGCTTCCGCAGGGACGCTGAGCAGCGCCCACACAGGCTGTGAGCCGCCCGACGCAAAGCCGGCTCCATTGTGCCGCCTGATTGACTTAATTGATGTTGTCGGAGATCCCCCGCTATGTCAAACTCTCATCGCCAGTATAAAAGACGAGATGCGCGCAATTTGCAAGGAGCTCGGGCCACTCTCAGACCACCGCCGCATTATCGTTCCTCCATATTTCCGGCCATCTGCCCAAACTTTTAAGCAGCTAAAGCAAAGCTCCGCCAACTACTTTTCCAGACCACAACAGCCGTTTCCCAACGCGACTGAAGCTCCTCAATCGGCACTTCAAGCCTCTGTAGAGCCGCGCAGGCTTGACTGCGCCCAGTCGGGAACATGGCGACCACTTCTAACATGTTCCTTTACTCGCTGACGATCCAGCCGCCAACCAATGTCGTCCAAGCGGTCCTGGGTCAGTTCGCGGGGACCAAGGAGCAGCTCATCATCACCGGTGCTGGGTCACGGCTGACTCTGTTGCGGCCTGATCCGTCGCAGGGCAAGGTCATCACTCTTTTGTCTCATGACATTTTTGGCATCATCAGGTCTCTAGCGGCCTTTCGCCTCGCAGGCAGCAATAAGGGTGAGTTTACCTAGCTCCGATTGTTTTTGGAGGGCCACATAGTGATGGTAAAAATTTTAAAAAGCTTTGAAACGCATCCTGCCAACCCCAAACGACTCAATGGAGTGCGGCTACGCTATTTCTCAAGCAACGGGCTAATCTTCATGCTGCAGATTACTTAATCTTAGCCACTGATTCTGGTCGGATCACTATCATTGAGTATCTTCCGAGGGAGAACCGATTTAGCAGATTGCATCTGGAGACTTTCGGAAAATCTGGTGTGCGGAGAGTCATTCCTGGAGAATACCTCGCGTGTGATCCCAAGGGACGTGCGTGTCTTATTGCTTCAATAGAGAAGAACAAGCTCGTATACGTGCTCAATCGAAACTCACAAGCGGAACTCACAATTTCGTCGCCTCTCGAAGCCCACAAGCCTGGTGTTTTAGTCATTTCCATGGTGGCATTAGATGTCGGATATGCCAATCCGGTGTTCGCCGCCCTAGAAATAGACTACACCGAAGTGGATCAAGATTCTACTGGGGAAGCTTTGCGAGAGCTGGAAACACAGCTTGTATACTATGAGCTTGATCTCGGACTCAATCACGTCGTCAGAAAGTGGTCTGAGCCTGTAGACTCAACAGCGTCACTGCTGTTCCAGGTACCGGGTGGTAACGATGGCCCAAGCGGTGTCCTGGTCTGCGGCGAGGAAAACATTACATATCGCCATTCCAACCAAGAGGCCTTTCGAGTTCCGATCCCTCGACGACGAGGAGCAACAGAGGATCCTTCAAGAAAGCGCACCATTGTTTCCGGTGTTATGCATAAGCTGAAGGGCAGCGCCGGCGCCTTCTTCTTCTTACTTCAAACAGAAGATGGCGACATGTTCAAGGTCACAATCGATATGGTTGAAGATGAGGAAGGCAATACCACAGGAGAGGTCAGACGACTCAAAATCAAGTACTTTGACACAGTCCCGGCTGCGTCAAGCCTGTGCATCTTGAAGAGTGGCTTCCTCTATGTTGCTAGCCAGTTCGGAAACTTCTCCTTCTACCAGTTTGAAAAACTGGGAGATGATGACGAAGAGCTAGAATTTACCAGCGACGACTTTCCAGTCGATGCACAAGCCTCCTATACCCCTGTTTATTTCTATCCCAGGCCACTGGAAAATCTAGTTCTCGTCGAGAGCATTCCCTCCATGAACCCTCTCCTCGACTGCAAAATTGCCAACCTGACCGGCGAGGACGCTCCTCAGATTTATACCATTTGTGGCAACGGTGCTCGTAGCACATTCCGCACACTCAAGCATGGGCTTGAAATTAATGAAATCGTATCTTCAGAGCTACCAGGTATTCCATCGGCTGTGTGGACGCTGAAGCTGAATCGAAGTGAGCAATATGATGCTTACATCGTTCTTTCTTTTACCAACGGAACTCTTGTGCTCAGTATAGGAGAGACGGTGGAAGAAGTCAGCGACTCTGGGTTTCTAACCAGCGTTCCCACCCTGGCTGCCCAGCTGCTCGGTGACGATGGTCTAATTCAAGTTCATCCGAAGGGTATCAGGCACATCCGCAATGGACAGGTCAACCAATGGGATGCCCCCCAGCATCGATCTATTGTGGCCGCCTCCACCAACGCTCACCAGGTGGCGATTGCTCTGAGTTCGGGTGAGATTGTCTACTTCGAGATGGACGATGATGGCTCCTTGGCAGAGTATGATGAAAAGAAAGAAATGTTTGGGACAGTCACTTGCTTGAGTCTGGGCGAAGTCCCCGAGGGCAGACTGCGAAGCTCGTTCCTTGCAGTCGGATGTGATGATTGTACAGTCCGCATCTTGAGTCTCGACCCAGAATCCACGCTTGAAAACAAATCAGTCCAAGCGCTGACAGCTGCACCTACCTCTCTCGCTATCATATCCATGGAGGACTCATCTTCCGGCGGTTCAACTCTCTACCTGCATATCGGTCTTTACTCCGGCGTGTACCTACGCACAGTATTGGACGAAGTTACTGGCGAATTAACAGACACCAGACAAAAATTCTTGGGACCGAAGCAGGTGAGACTGTTCCAAGTAACAGTCCAAGGAAGGACGTGCGTTCTTGGTCTTAGCTCTCGGCCTTGGCTCGGATACGCCGATCCCATCACCAAGAGCTTTGTCGTCACACCGCTTAGCTACGTTGACTTGGAATGGGGCTGGAATTTTACTAGCGAGCAATGTGAAGAAGGTATCGTGGGTATTCAAGGACAGACCTTACGGTAAGTGGCAATGATTGCTTTCTCCCCCTCGCATACTTGTCAGATGATGAAAAATTTGGGATCCAAGCCTATGGGCTATGAGGTTCATCAATACGCATTTTTTTCCAATTGTTCCTACTGAAAGACATCTATTCTCCATCTTTTTACATTTGCACATCTAGAAGCGTTATTTCAAGATACTAATGTTTTCTAGCATTTTCTCTGTTGATCGGCTTGGAGACACACTGATCCAGAATTCTATCCCCCTGACCTATACGCCTAAGAAGATGGTGAAGCATCCGGAGCATCCCCTCTTCTACGTAATTGAAGCGGACAATCATACCCTATCACCTGACCTTTGTGCGAAATTGCTCGCTGACCCAGCAAGTGTCAATGGAGACTCTAAAGTTCTTTCCCCAGAAGAATTTGGCCATCCCAGAGGCAACAGACGCTGGGCTTCATGTATTAGCGTTGTTGATCCTCTAGCTGAAGATGGTCAGGTTCTACAAAAGATAGACTTGGAGGAAAACGAGGCCGCGGTAAGCCTCGCTATTGTTACGTTTGCTAGCCAAGATAACGAAACCTTCCTTGTTGTCGGAACCGGTAAAGATATGGTCGTGAGCCCTCGCAGTTTTTCTGACGCCTATGTTCATATCTACCGGTTCGAACAGGAGGGCAGAGGCTTGGTTTTCATTCATAAAACGAAGGTCGAAGAGCCTCCGATGGCCATCATTCCTTTTCAGGGGCGCGTGCTGGTGGGCATTGGGAAAACGCTTCGCATATACGATCTCGGCATGCGACAACTGCTGCGGAAGACCCAAGCTGAAGTGGCACCACAGCTTATCAACTCTTTGAGCACACAAGGCAACAGAATCATTGTGGGAGACGTGCAGCAAGGTATAACATATGTCGTCTATAAACAATCGACAAACAAGCTCATTCCTTTCGTGGATGACACCGTTGCTCGGTGGACGACTTGCTCAACAATGGTAGATTATGAGACAGTGGCTGGAGGAGATAAATTTGGCAACATCTTTGTCGTTCGCTCTCCTCAGAAGGCCAGTGAAGAGGCCGATGAGGAGCAAGCAGGGCTTCATCTGCTAAATGCGAGAGACTATCTCCACGGACGATCCCATCGCCTGGATCTGATGTGCCACCTTTACACCCAGGACATTCCGACGAGTATTACTAAAACGAGCCTTGTTGTCGGAGGACAAGATGTTCTGTTGTGGAGTGGCCTTATGGGCACAATTGGTGTCCTAATTCCTTTTGTCACCCGAGAAGACACCGACTTTTTCCAGAGCTTAGAACAACATCTGAGGGCCGAAGATCCTCCACTGGCCGGCCGAGACCATTTAATGTATCGGAGTTACTACGCACCTGTGAAAGGCGTCATCGATGGTGATCTCTGTGAGAGATACACACTGCTTCCAAATGATAAGAAGCAAATGATTGCAGCCGAGCTGGACCGCTCTGTCCGCGAAATTGAGCGGAAAATATCGGTAAGAAACACATGAAATCCAAAAAAAAAAAAAAAAAAAAAAAATTTGGGCAAGACGCACAGGCTAACATTTGGCATAATAGGATATCCGAACTCGGTCTGCATTTTAGAGCGTTTGGAATTTTTTAATATTCTTGTGGCATAAATGATGATATATATAAGTGTAGCTAAGCAAGGTTAAAGGATGACGGCGTTATATACGGGCTTATATATGCCGTTTGGGTTCGGCAAAGGCATCCAAAGAGATGATGCTCGTGCAGATTCTGCACGTTTACATGAAATATGAAATTCTAATAACCCATTTCTCTGAAAAGAAATCATTGAAAAAACGCCAAACCGAAAAAGGAGGAACAGAAAAAAGAGGCAAAAGAATGCCATGGGACTATAGTCCCCTCCAAAAAAGGCCACGATTGCGGACCTTGTTCGCCTCGCTATCCCTCCGGTTTGGGTGGCTTCTCTCCCAATCCTCATCATCCATGTAAGCCGTGATGGCGACATCAATATCATAGCCGGCCTGCTCCATATACAGCAGAGCGTAATCATAATCTGAGACTTTGCAGGCTGTCATGAAGCGTCGAATCTTACCCTTTCTCAGCTCCTCCTCTTCGCCCTCGACGGGCCGAGGAGACAGACTGACGCCGCCTTTATAAAACTCGCCAGGGATCAAGACAGTCTTTCGACCGACCAGAAGGTGGTCGCTTGTGAGGTTGTTCCGCCGCCGCAGCGCTGTAGGAGGCACGCCGTACCGTAGCGACAGCGACTGTACGGTGTCGTGTTCGTGGTCTAGAAAATGCAGCGTGTCGTCTGAGACGGCCTTTTCGTCAGGTTCGGAGCTGCTCTTGCTGCTCTCGGCGGGGGGTGGCGTTGTCGGCGCATCTGCTATATACGGTGGCGGAGGAGCAGAAGCCGGGATGGATCTGTATCCCAAGTTTGGAACCGACGAGTATGATGGAGGATCTCTAAGGCCTTGCGGTAACGGCGACGGCATGTTTGATACCTGGCAGAAGGGGCAGTACGATGCAAAGCGCGGGTTTTTCTAGGGGCGGGCGCGTATTAATATTGATGAGGATATCAAGTGGTCGTATTACCTGACGACGGATGGCTAACCTGTATACACTTTGCGCAGATAACTCGGTAACAGCACTCAACTCTGCGGTCGCGTGCATCGTCTTGAGCAAGACTGCCCGTGCAAGTACTGCAAAACTCCATGGTTTGCAGCTTGCAAGAATATCCAAAAAGTAGGAAGACAGATACTACAATATAAACAGAGAAGTGCCTTTGTGATGCTGTCCTCGTGACGGGGGAACATGAGAGGACTTGTGTCTCAAGTTCATATTCCTATCGTGGTGGCGGCTGGACAGTTTATCGCCGCTTTGGGGGATTACCTACTCGAGCTGGCAGCACACGGCCAATCACGTCATGGCAGATGACGGCTGCCATGTTGTTTGTTAGCTATCGGACGCCACATGGGAGTTTTCTGTTAGTTAAGCCGCTCGGGGTAGGATTCGATTTTAGTGCGTGCGAGACAGAGATGCGCAGCTCTGGATCAGATCGTAATGGAGGCGTCTGTGGCTAGGTACTTACTGATAGGTGGCCAGGCTGCTGGAGTCGCTGTACTGGAGTCTTTAATAGCACTGCTGCGACAATGATACTACCCGGGAGCCTTCTAGAAATGCCAACTTAGCTGAAAGATTGCGGGGGGCCGCCTGGCGCGTGTTTAGCTCGTGGTGCTCGGCATTTGGTCAGCGCGCCTAGTATTGTGTTGTAGCTCTTCCCGTGCTTTCTACTGTTCTTCTGCTTCTGCATATCTGCCTCCCTTTGGGTCACCTTGTGATTGAAATAATATACAAGACTTTTGCTACAGCTCAATTTCCACTTGACAATCTTCTGTAGCTCTCCTACTCTTTGAAAACTGGTTGGATTGTTCTAAGACGAGCTTGTTCCTACCGCAAAGATGGATAAACCGAAGCTTGCGTTCGGACTGAACCTGACGAAAAAGCCTGGCGCATCTAAGCCGATGCCTTCGAGATCAAAACCCATGTTCGACAACCACGATAATGACTCGGACGATGAAGGCACCAAGGTGGAAGAAATCGGAGGCGATTTGGAAGATTTTACAACTGCCAGCTCGGCACCAGCAGATTCAACGAGGGGACCCAGATCGAAGAAAGGCCCTATAGCTGAACCTCCAAAACTCAAACCGAAAAACCAAACAAACGCCATGTTTGGGGACCTATCCAGCACACTCTCATCTCGCAAAAACGCAGAGGCGGCCACCGAACTAGATGCCAGCGTCTACGAATATGACTCTATATACGACTCCATGAAGCCAAAGAAGAACGTTGCAAAAGAGGATGAGGAACGAAAACCGAAATACATGAAGAATCTGTTACGAGCGGCCGATGTGCGGAAACGAGATCAGCTGATTGCCGAAGAGAAGAAGATTGCGCGGGAGCGTGAAGCTGAGGGAGAGGAGTTTGCCGACAAGGAAAAGTTTGTGACAGAGGCCTATAAGAAGCAGCAAGAGGAGAACAGAAGGTTAGAAGAGGAAGAGCGGAAGAGGGAGGAAGAGGAAGCCAAGAAAAACGAGGGTACTGGCATGACGACTTTTTACAGGAAATTGCTGGATAAGGAGCAGGAGAGGCATGCCGAGACGGTTCGAGCCGCCGAAGAAATGGCCAAAAGGGATCCCGGCGAGAAAGGCGATGAAAAGAATGAAGGAGACGCAGACGTTGATAAAGAGAAGGAATTCGCCAAAGCAGCACAGGAGCTCAACGAAAAAGGAGCTTCCATCTCCGTCAATGAAGACGGCCAAGTCGTTGATAAGCGACAGCTCCTCAAAGGCGGCCTCAACGTCGGCGCGAAGAAGAAGGTGGAGGCCCAACGAGAGGAAGCGGATCGCCCGGCGGAGAGGGAGCGCAAGGAGATGTCAGGCCAGCAGATTGGCCGGAAGCAGGCCATGCGGGAAAGACAGTCGCGGATGCTCGCGGACCAGCTGGAAGCCTCGTTGAAGCGCTCGAGGGAGGCAACCGAGGCGCAGAGGGAAGAGGTGGAGAGGGCGGCCAAGACTCGCAAGACGGAGGGGGAGATTTCGAGTGCCAAGGAGAGATATCTTGCGCGAAAGAGGGCGGCGGAGGAGGAGAAGAAGAAGAAGGCTGCGGCGGAGCGATGATGTATATGTGTATGTGTAATCAATTAAATAGATACCCAAAATTCAAACATAATGATGAACAATTTATCAACTTTTTTTTTTCTTTCTTCTGTCTGTCAATGTAGATTAGAGGCCGAGTGGATGATCCAATATCTATATCTAAAGCCCGTTCCTAGATACTGCGCCGTGGCACCAAGGCCAGTCTAATTTGAAGAATATATGGTAGTAGTACAAAGATTTCATATGGGAGAGCCCTGAAGGTTTTGAATTGAGGCACAATCCCAGCTCAATGGCGTCGATAGTCCCAGTCATGGTGTTTCCCCCCATGCGCCGTCCAAATGGCATGACGTTTGCCGTGTCGAACTTGGAGTTTTTAATTACAGCCCCTTTCCCCCCTTCGTCGTTCGTATGATATATATCGTTTAGTTGTTTCCTTGCTCCTGTCGTATTCTGTTGATGTACGCAGCATTGACCTGGTTCCAAGCCGCCATGTACTTTTCCATGCAGCCAGTCATGCAGGTCTGTTCGCTGCTAGAGAGGGAGCTGCCGGGCTTGGGGACGCATTTTTCGAAGCAGTTTTCCTGGAGTTTCTATGATTGAGTAGGAGTTGTTAGTCTGGGCCGTCTACATTATATGTGCTTATTGCACGGTTTCGTGTATAAGGTGGAGGGGCTGTGCCTACTTCGATGAGGACTCGGGCATTGGCGAGGTTGGCCTCTGCGAGGACCTGCTTCATGACAGACTGCTTGACGGAAGAGGAATCCATTGTGGAGAGTATTATGCTGGAGGGTTCGGATTTTGTGGTTTGTTATTAGAATCGCTTGACTGCTCGGGTCGACGGGTAGAAAGATTTTGGAGATGGAAGGCTTGGAGTTGCAAAATGATTGTGGCTGAGTGTGGCGTCGGTATCTGATCCATGGTTACTAAGTTGGTGAGAAGTGTGGCGTCAAAACTACAGTTTTGGGAAACAATGCGACACTTATAGATACTTTGCATTTCCAGCAGTCAATCCAGTATCTCAATTTGATTTCTATTAATGGAAGGAATCATATGTCCAAAACACCTGCTCAACTGTGTATAATGTGAGTATATGATCGTCTGAGGAGCACCTGACATTTGGCATGTGACTACCTCCCCAGAAGGACATCTGGCCCTCTATCGAATCGCAAAGATATGGAGTGTATTACATGCCTATTGGTAACTTGTATGAGGAGAAGATAATGAATTCGGATGCCAATTCTTTTCCCTGGAGCGTAGTTATGCATGTCGCATACCAGCACGGAAAGCTCGTGTTTCAACAATGCTAGCAATATAAGTCGAGACAGCACAGTGTGTAGTTCAAGCCCCCATCAGTCAGAGAGCTGCTAAGAGATATCGAAATGATTTATTAGACACAACGTACCAATCAAACACCGTAGAGACGTTTCTGTTCATATTGAGCATAGGATACAATATTATAATAGAAATATCGATAAACGAGTCGCTTTAAGATCATCGCTCCTAATAATAGATGCAGGCCATGTACCTCGCAGCTCCCGCAGTCAGCTCCCGCAGTCAGCTCTAGTGAGAGCGGGTACCTTCACCGTCTAGCTGTTTCAGGAATAGCACTGTGTCGCGGGCTTAACACGAATGTGGCCTTTTTACAGCATGGAGCAGCCTCCCATGTGAACCGGACCAACATTTGCTGCTTGCCACTGCCAGAACGCAACACGCCGCAGAAGACGAGAGGCGGCGCTGGACCTTTTGCCAATCTGCAATTGGCCAACTCGCTGATACACCGACCATTGGATCATCACTTGCCACAATCGCTCCAAGATGCGGCTCTCCTCGCTATCAGCCGTGCTCGCCTCGGCGTTTGCGTGGACTGCGGCGGCCCAGGATGACTACAGAAGCATAACGGTTCGTGGCTGTCGGGAATGGTATGCGCAGATGTTGTTGTGGGCTAACAAATCTCGCGCAGCTCAAAACACACTCCATCGAACAAGTCAGTCGCAAACAGACGATAACAAAAGAGGAGAACTGGTCGCAAATTAGCAGATGATAGAGGCTGACTGTTTTCTTTCCCCCCTCTCTTTAGCCTTACTTGGACTCTGACATGCAGAGCCGATGGTTTGACTTTGGCGGAGATACCATCATTCGAACAGACTCGTACGTCCATCTTCGAGATACACGCGCATGCATATGCATATATTCTCCGATCTAGAAGCTCAATGTGCTACAGATATATTCGCCTTACCTCCGATCGACCTTCACAAAACGGCTGGCTCTTTTCACGAGTGCCTCTTACAGCTACCAACTGGGAAGTCGAGGTTGAATTCAAGATCCACGGAAAGAATCAGCTCTACGGCGATGGCTTCGCCATGTGGATCACGAAGCAGCGAGGCCAGATCGGTCCCGTCTTTGGGCATGCAGATAAATTCGAAGGCTTGGGTATCTTTATCGACACATACAAGAACAACCGACCCGGTGTCGTCTTCCCCTACGTCATGGCCATGTTTGGCGACGGACAGGCGAGCTACGACAAGAACAACGATGGCAAGGAGACGGAGCTGGCTGGTTGCTCGGCCCGAGGCCTTCGTCACTCGACCATCCCCACCAAGATGCGATTGACTTATTTCCAGGACAAGACGCTCAAGCTCGAGCTCCAGTACAAGACTGTCGGCGACTGGACGGTGTGTTTCGAGGTGGACAACCCTCCTGCGATCCCCAACATTGCCTACCTCGGATTCAGTGCAGAGACTGGCGAGTTGAGCGACCACCACGATATCATCTCCGTCTCGTCCAAGAATCTCTACACCAGCCCGGCTAATGGACCTGGCTCAAAGGGATCCCAAAAGAACTCGTACAGGGGCAGCAAGACCAATAGCAGCAGCAGCAACCAGAGCGGCGGAAGCTGGACATGGTTCTTCACCAAGATCATCCTCTTCATCCTCGTTGCAGGCGGTGGTTACGTTGGATTCACCATTTACAGGTCAAAAACCAAGAGCCACAGATTCTAGGCGAGCCATGCGTCGGAGGAACGATACACACAAGTATGGGCTGGAGAGCGTATTAGGTACAGGGAGAAAGATGTGCAGAGACATGCAAACTCAGCCATCTAGCTGGACTCGGGCAGAGGGCCCTATCAAGGAGAGGCAAGAATCATATACTTCGAGTTGATCAAGAGACGGGCAGGAAAGGACGTCGTCAGTATCCGTGCAAGAAAGCAGTCAATGGTTTTCTTTGTGCTGGGGAGTTGGGTCATTCGATACATTGCTTGACGGGTACGCGGCGGCGGTGATTTCTTATGGAAAATTGATAAAGGTTATATCATTAGCGACGAAATGGCACTTTTATTGGCTCAAGTTTTAACACCACTTCTTGATAAACTGCTGGCATTGTCGATTTTTGGTTGATTATTTGTTATTTTGCATGTTAATGAGAGAGCTCTGGAATACCTTGCCTAGAAGCTGTCCTAAAGTGGTCTAGTCCAAAATTACGACTATTGTAAACGCTACAGGGTAGGATTAAGCTACTACCAGCTCTCCCAAGCTTTTACAATTCAGCCACAATTGACAATTTCGTTCAATCATCATGTGCTGCACTGATGTGCTTTTGAGGTTGCTGTTTAATTGCTTTGACTGTTGCCCTTGTTGTCCCCTTTCATTTGATCCTGCGGCGATCTGAGAGAGCTAAAGGAGTACCTCTGTGCGACATGTCAACGATATCTAGCAGTTCATTCTCGGGGCTTACAAGCAACGTACCCTTGACGTATATGAAGGATTCAGAGTTCGACGGCGTCAACAGCAAGATCGGCAGGCCGTCGACAAAGTCCATCCATGCCGAGAATGAGGGGAAGCGAAAGTAAAACCGGGCTCAAGGCAAGCTTGGATGCACTAAAACCAGGGCCTAAAAGCTCCTGCTGGCCTCGCCCCCCAATTCTTGTCATATTGTTTGTTCTTCAACCTGTCTTGTTTTTTTTTTCCTCACACACACTCTCCTTTCAAACCGTCCATGTTCCAAACCTATCAATTGAACCACCAACGTCTTGGATTACGTGGCTACACAGAATGATCCCAGCATTATATCATTAGTGATGAGAGATTGGCCTTTTGTGTCCACGAATTTTAGCTGAATCGGTCCCCGCAACTTGTGGCGATTTAGCTTGGCTGCGAATCAATCGAGACGTACTAACGGCAGGTTCGGCCAGATCGATTTCATCACCCAGAGCCAACATATGCTATTGAAAGAAAGCGAAGAAAGCTCTTAGAGCAATACTTTCACCCAAAATATAACCAATCCGCGATAAAGAAAAGATTGTTTCTTCCACTGCACTCTTAATCGGCTGAGCTGCTATTAGCCTATTACCTGGATCTTGCGGCTGGACATCATCATCTTGCAGCTTTAGCTGCCGGCAACTACCTAGCGTCACAACTCAACTCGCATCTACGATCGCTTATTCAGCCACCAAACAGACTCCCTGATCTGTGCCAAGGGATTGATCTGCCTACATACAGCAAGCAGAGGCACGTATATGTATGTGAATGTGCTCAAGATCCAATTCCTGGCGACAGTTGCATCAGCACGCAGCTGCACTGTTTCAGCTACTGTACTACGGAGTGCTAACCGTGGGGTGCGGCGATTCAGGTGATATCATCGGGCTGTCCTCAATTGCTGCCCCGTCTATTGCATGGCGGGCTGAGTTGGATCGGATTGAAAGTACCAGACGAAAAGAGACGGGCCAGCACTCTGTCCAAGCGGCCAATTGACCCGGCTGGAGCCGTTGAGAGCTCAATATCGGATAAGGAGCAAAGGACGAAAACTGCCGAAGCAATTGCTGTGGATAAGCAGCTCGCCTGGCCGTCAATCAAACGGGTTTAATTAGCAGCGCTGCAGCCGATCCAGGCAGCCGAGCGAAAGCCGCGAATCCCATTTGTTGTTGCCGGCCTCAGTTGCTGGGAAACGCTGCTGTGCTACATTTTGCGCTCGTGCGCAGGCGGTACGTGCGCGAATCAAGCCAAACCAGCTTGCGCATTTTCGGGCTGGGCGGATTCCAAGCTTCCCAAGCATCAATCAGAACTGACCGAGCCCAGCAGTCCTCCAGCCCGCCGCACCGCACCGCCAATTGCCAGCGTTGAAACGATACGAGTCCGTCCCTTTTGGCGGTCCTTTAACCCACACGCCATCAGCGCGCGACCGCTACCTGCTCCCACCTTACTCCCCCAGCGCTGGCCTGCCGCCTCCCGCCTTTGCCTCGGCGCCCTCACCCCCCCCCTAAACGCCCAAAGCAGCACACGTCCGTTGGAGGCACTCAGTTGAGCCCCCCCCGCCGCACCGCCTAAACAGCTGCCCCGGAGCTTTCTCCAGGCTCTTCTCCAGGCGCCATCAATCACACGCAGCCCGCCTCCGGCCATTGGCACGCACGAACAATTGAATCGACCGCCCGCCGCACCCGCTGCAAAGCACCCCCCCCCATCACCCCCCAAACTCCAAGCCCCAGCGTCTAACCAGCGCCCAGACGGCAGCGCCAGACAGACTTGCCCAGCTCAGTAGCATCCCCGGCCCAGATCGGCGTGAACAGCCCAGGCTGCCTCGATTCGAGCCCTTTTTTGCTTTCCCCTCAATCCAATCCCCAATTCCCTGCTTCCGGCCTCTCCCTCCGCAAAACCACCTCAACCTGAACCTTATGCCTTCGTTCGGGTCATTCCTCAAGAAGAAGCGGACAAAGGAGGGCCACCCCGACAAGGACGGCCACAGCCACAGCAGTGCCAGCAACCCCACCAGCCCCGTCGCCCCCTCGGCGCCCGCCTCCAAGCTTTTCGACTCGTCGACGCTGCAGCAGCCGCGAGCGACCGGCGGTAGCCATAGCAATCACACCGGCGCAGGTAGTGGCAGCACAGGCGCAGGCACAGGCGCAGGCACAACGATAGGCACAGCTCCAGCAGCAACAGGCCTTGGTCTAGGTCTAGGTCTAGGTCTGGCTGCTTCAGGCACCGCCGTCTCGCCTGGCTCCATCTCGCCGTCTGCATCCACTCCCATTCCCGCCTCCGCACCCGCGTCCTCGATCCCAGCCTCTGCGCCAGCCTCTGCGCAAGCTCCAGCTCCTGCCGCCTCTTCAGCCGAGCGAGACACGGCCAAGGCCGCTCCTCCCGTCTCCCCGACGTCGACGTCGACCTCGACCATGAATCCCGTCAACGTCCAGTCCTACGCGCCGCCGGGCCACGACTCGCAGAACCTCCCCAGCATCAGCAACCTCATCAATTCGCCCCAGAATGACGGCTCGACCAACGGCTACGCCCCCTCGCCCTCGCCGTATCAGACCTCACCTCCCGTAATGGCCGACAACAGTGCCCAGCTGCATCAACAGCAGCAGCAGCAACACCTACCGTCGGAGATGCAGCTGGATCCACCGCAACAGCAGCAGCAGGCTGTGCCGCAACAACAACAGCAGCACCAGCCCCAACAGCAGACCCAGCAACAACAGCACCCACCCCAGCAGCCTCACCATGGACACAGCGTGTCATTGTCCCAGCCCCGCGTCACCAAGGGCAAGTACTCGCTGGGCGACTTTGAGATCTTGAGAACGCTCGGCACCGGTAGCTTCGGTCGCGTTCACCTGGTCCAGTCCAAGCACAACCAGCGCTTCTACGCCGTCAAAGTGCTCAAGAAGGCGCAAGTAGTCAAGATGAAGCAAGTCGAGCACACAAACGACGAACGCCGCATGTTGAGCGACGTCAAGCACCCTTTCCTCATCACCCTGTGGGGTACCTTTCAAGACTGGAAGAACCTTTACATGGTTATGGATTTCGTCGAGGGCGGTGAGCTGTTTTCGCTGCTAAGAAAATCTGGGGTATGACAACCTTGACCCATCATCA